TAAGTTGTATTTTGAACCTCTTCATGGACCATCCAAACCCTTATATGTGCAGATCACATCTAAGTGATTTGGAGTAATGAAGATCAAGGAGGGAAATGATGTGGAAACCAGAAAGCTTATTAAACGACTTTTTGTTGTTCTCTACCCATTGAAAACACCACTGGGCTGCCAGTTTTTTGTACTGTACATCATTGGTGTTTGTGTATTGCTGTGATGTTGCAAGATATGATATTTCAAATACCAGCAGGGTCATCTGTGGTGAACAGGTTTCAGTGGACCTTTCAGACTTAAATAGACCAGGAACAAAAGTCGAATGATCTACTTCAGAAAAGTGGCCTATGAAAACCTTAGGAGTCACAACAGACTATTGTCTTGACTCACTTGCTTTGGATACGCCATCAAGAGGGATCAATTGGTAGAAGAGGACATCACACCTGGTGAAGTAAGGGCCAGAGAGCGTAAGGGAGACTCTTAGTGAGATGGATTGGCACAGTGACTACAAAGATGGGCTCAAACATGCTGTCATAGTGGGCATGAGAGAAGATCAGACGGCATCTTGTTCTAGTGTACATAAGATCACCACAAATTGGCGTTAAAATGATAGCAGCTATTTATCTAGCAATCCATTGTAACTCTCCTAGAATTGACTTGTTTCCCCAGAGTGGAATTAGTAAAACTGGTTCTTATTTAATGCACACTATGCTCCAGATAAATGCGGGACTTAGTATAGTGAGGGAGACTGCCGTTACATTCAGCAAAGAAATGTTTCTTGAGTGGGTATTGGGTCCAAACCCTTTATTAGAAACTGGAGATACGCCTATGAGCAAACAGACAAACTCTTGCCTTCAAGAACTTTCCTTGTTATGGGGCAAAATAAATGAGGTAAGGAGGGTGGCTGACCACGGGGATGTCTGAGGCTGGGGGCAGCCAGCTTGCCTTGTATTAGTGGGTAATGAGGAGCCACTAGAATTCTCCGAGAAAGCTACTACTTTGGCTTTTATTCTGAGTGAGATGGGAAGCTATTAAAGATTAACAAGTCAACATTGAACCTACTAGGGAAAGAGCATGGAAAAAGGGCTGACATATCCCAGAGGAAGGCTTCTCAGAGGGTAAATATTTGCTTGACCTTAGAAGGTACATGGGGAAGAGAGGGAGAGATAAGGTTAAAAGTATCCTAGTCAGAGGGGACAAGTTGTGTCAAACCTAAGGTGACCAGATTTTAACATTCTAAAGCAGGACACCATTGATGGGGGCAGGGGGGTGTCTTGATTAAAAATCTGGTCTATATGGAGCAACAAAAATTTTCATAGAATGCAAAAATAGTATTATAATATATTTTTAAAATTTCAGCATAAGTACAATTTACAAATATAATACATTAAAAAATTAGGCATAGTATTATTTTATTCTTTGGTATACAGTATTTCTCATTTGAGTGAATTTTTTTTAGTAGATTGCTGTCCTTATTTAAAAGGTCATGAAATTTTTCACAAGAATTTGTTAAATTA